AATCAGAGATGGCAAAAGTACACACATCCTTTCCTCAAGTAGAAGTACAGATACTCGTGTTTAAAAATACTCTGGTGAAAGTAGAAGTACTGACTAAACTTCTTTACTCAAGTCAAAGTAAAGAGGCTTTGAAATGTGCTTAAGTAAAAAGTACCCATAACTAGCAGCTGTTTTAAAGAGTACCTGACCTCCCTTTATATTAATAGAACAATAATGTCATTGTTAGCTAATGAATGTTTCCATGCTGACCAACGGCAACATGACAACGTTTCCATTGGTCCCTCTTCTTTAGAGAAGACCAGGAAATGATGGATACACGGATCGTGTTCAAATCAATAGGCACGCAATGACTCTAAATAATAATGATCACGCCACCAAACACACATTCAGACTAAAGGAACCAGCCTGTTTGGAAAATGTGAGAAGTAGAAAGTACAGGTATTTGGGTTCAACATGTAAGAAGTAGAAAGTACAGGTATTTGTGTTCAACATGTAAGAAGTAGAAAGTACAGGTATTTGTATCAAATGTAAGAAGTAGAAAGTACAGGTATTTGAGGATCAACATGTTAAGAAGTGAAAATGTACAGGGTATTTGTCCTTTTCTTTTCTTTTCAACATGGTAAGAAGTAGAAAGTAAGGTATATTGTGTTCAACATGTAAGGAAGTTAGGAAAGTACAGGTATTTGGGTTCAAACATCGTAAGAAGTAGGAAAGTACAGGTATTTGTGTTCAACATGTTAAGAAGTAGAAAGGTACAGGTTTTGTGTTCACATGTAAGAAGTAGAAAGTACAGGTATTGTGTTCAATGTAAGAAGTAGAAAGTACAGGTTATTTGTGTTCAACAGTTGTAAAAAGTAGAAACGTACACGTGTTTGTCTCAAAATGTAAGAATTTAGAAAGTACAGGTATTTGTTGTTCAACATTTAAGATAGTAGAAAGTACAGGTATTGGTGTTCAACTGTAAGAAGTAGAACAGTACAGGTATTTGTGTTCAACGATGTAAGAATAGAAAGTAGCCTACAGGTATTGGTTCAAACATGTAAGAAGTAGAAAGTACAGGTATTGAGTTGCACATGTAAGGAAGTAGAAAGACACGGTATTTGTGTTCAACATGTAAGAGTAGAAGTACAGGTGTTTGTCTTCAAAATAGTAAGAAGTAGAAAGTACAGTGTTTGTGCTTCGACATGTAAGTAAGTACAGGCAAACAAAGGTATTGTGTACCTCCACTACTTCCCATCTCTGCCACATTTCAATACAGTGCTGTGTGTGTGTGTGTGTGTGTGTGTGGGATTGTGGAAATGTAATGTGTTGGACTCCAGCTGAGGAAGGGTTGTGTGCGATGACATGGCCAACACAGTAATCCGAGCTTGCACAATGTGCAGCGTCCTTTTACAGGCATGGGGGGGGGGGGGGGGCTGATGATTGTTCATTAAAGCACACTCAGTAGGAGCTCAGCGCACTCGACCAACCTACCGGAGATTAGAGTGCCAAACTCGACGGCATATTGCATTTGGTAATAATACCATAATGAATAATAATGGAATAGGTAGACGAATTCACATGCTCATTCACATTAGACAACTGCAATGCGGATGTGATAGATTTATTTGAATAACCACACAGTCAGGTGACAGTTTAATATGCAGCAGAGTGCTTGAGCAAAGTGTTGAGTCGCCCTAAAAGCCTTCCATGGAACAAATGGCAGCTCCAAATCAAGTAAGTGAAAAATAAAACAAGGTGTTTTTGATCGTATTAAGTGGAAAATCTGCCAAAAGAACGAAGTGGAAGAATTAGCTGTGGTGAGAGTTTCCTGTGAATAGATATGGGGTATTTTAGATAAATTAGAATATTTTTTAAGCGTCTATTTGAGCAGAAATCAGGAAATGTTAGCCCACAAAATGAAGCCTCAATGGACAAATATTGGTGATTTCCATAAAAAGGGTTTTTTTAACTGTTCTTGACTTTTACAAGACCACAGCGCGGTTAAAGGATAATCTGCATACAACTCAAAATTACGTGGTTCAACGAGCCTTTGACTTAAGCAATCGATACGCGAAGCTCGCGGGTGTATGTGTATCCCTCT